AAGGCCTGGCTCAGCTCTCCAGTCTCGCTCTTCTTCTCCCTCACGTGGAAACCTACCATTCAGACGCAGTGAGTCGACTGCTTCCCTCAGCAGGCATAATGGTGGTGATGGTGGAGGGCGTTCACAAGGGCCGGAGCCAGGGTACAGAAACACCTTGCAAGGAACAAATGGGCAACGTGTTGAGTCAGGAACGCTGCCGAGAAACTTTAAATCATTTGCTGGTCCAGTCAAATCCCAGTCCAGCACAGTTTCAGATTTTAGGAGTGCCTTGAAGAGAACTGAAGGAAATGGGTCTTTGAGCGGTCGAGGGCGTGACAGCTTAAGCTCTCCTCCCTCAAGAAGAGACTCTAAACTTTCAGGACAAATGTCTCTTCGCAAACCTGAAATGACCAGCAGTTCATCTCAAGGACGTGGGCGTGACAGTCGTAACTCGTCTCCATCTAGGAGATCTTCTGATGCTGTGCGTGACAGTAACAAATACTCACCACCAAGAAAAAGTAACAGTTCGTCTAGCCAATCGCCTCTTCGCAAAACTGAATCAATTATGTCTCTAAGCGGACGTAGTCACCATGGACGCTGTGGCTCCCCCATAAGAGAAGGATATGATATTGAAAGCCAGGTACTGCTACGTAACTCAACAGCTAAGAATGGACTCAATGAACAAGAATACGAAAGCCCTGTCGTGTCTCCAACCAGACGGGGTTATGGCACAAGTCCATCGGCGCTCCGTAAGACTGATTCAAGCCCTGCCGTTGGTAGTCGAGGTCGAGACAGCCGTTGTTCGTCTCCTGGAAGGAGAGGCAATGAAACCCCTACTCAGAACCAACTTAAGAAAACAGACACCAGTAGTTCTTTACGTGGCCGTAGTTGTGAAAGTCGCAACTCCTCCCCTTCACGGAGAAGCTATGAAGCTCCTTCTCAGTCCCTGCTGCGCAAGTCTGAGGTAAACAGTCCTGTCAAAAGTCGTGATAGCCACACTTTGTTGCCCTCAAGAAAAAGCTATGATCCTCCCGATCAGCCCTCACTGCGGAAAACAGAAACTAGCAGCTCCCTTAAAAGCAAGAATCTCATCAGCCGCAACTCTTCTCCCACTAGAATAGGGAACGGTGACGCACCGGGCTACTCAATCCTAAGAAATGCCACCAATGGAGATTCAAGCCATTCCTTTCAAAGAAAAAACACTCACCATGACTCAAAATCTGATTCCAATCCCCCACCACGCTCGACTCATTCCCTCCGCAGCTCCTCTGCATCTCGTGCTGCTTCTCCCTCCAGGCGGACCACAAATGGCAGCAGAACAACTTTCGTCACCTTGGAAGAACCCACGAGTCCCGGCAGATCCAGGGTTGGTAGACGTGGCCTTGAGGATCGCCGTCATGAGGATCGCCGTCATGAGGATCCCCGTCATGAGGATCCCCGTCATGAGGATCCCCGTAATGAGGATCGCCTTCATGAGAATCGCCGTCATGAGGATCCCCGTAATGAGGATCCCCGTAATGAGAATCGCCGTCATGAGAATCGCCGTCATGAGGATCCCCGTAATGAGGATCCCCGTAATGAGAATCCCCGTAATGGGAATCGCCGTAATGAGGATCCCCGTAATGAGAATCCCCGTAATGAGAATCCCCGTAATGAGGATCCCCGTAATGAGAATCGCCGTCATGAGGATCGCCTTCATGAGGATAACCGCCATGAGGGTCGACCCAATGAGGATCGCCGCCCTTCCCCTATCGAAAAAAAGCCTTTCCAACGCGTACGAAGCCTTTCTCCATCCCCTCAGATTCAACTGCGGAGGCATACCTCCTCTCAAAGCTCCGTGGAGTCCTCAGAGTCGGGCCAGATGTCTACGGGGTCCACAGGACGGAACAAGGAGGAATACGCCATGCTAGCCGACGTGCCGAAGGTCAAAATGATCCATCAGAGAGAAGGGCCAGGCCATATGGTTCGGCCTCAGACCCCGCAACCTTCTCGGAGACAGGAGCTCTTTAAACCAGCCAGGTCAGACTTATATATCTATGGAAGCCCATTTAACGTCAGTAAAATAATATATAGCCTTGTAAATGAAAAAAATATCCTGAAATGCCTTGTTCACAACTAAAGTACATGTTGCCGATGTTCCAGATACGTAAGAGGGACCTGAATTATTGCCTGGCAGTCATTATTCATGAAAGTTTGTCATTATTTTAGGAAAACTGCTCATTATTTGGAGACACTAAGTCATTTTGAGATACTTAATCAATAGTCTAACAAACAAAGTCTAATAGGATCTTTATTTTGAGTCACATTGGCGTAAATGGGCTTCCATATTTTACATTACAAAGATTGAAATGGGAGCTGTTGAGGGGGGAATTTCATGGAAGAACTCACTTTGTCAGTGCTTTAGCATATATGGGACTACAAATATAGAAAAATAAAATAAAAGTTTGAACATAAATGTGCATATTATGTCCCCTTTAAACGCTTGTCGCTTGTTAACATTACACATATCAGTTAACAATACATTGTGTAACATGAAGGATATGTTGTTGGTGATGAAACACAATGTCCTTGTGGTTAATCTAGATGGCTCTGCTTCTTCCACACAAATAGATTGAATACATTTTACCATTTTAGACACACCGATGATGACATTTTTGTGCTTTTCCAGCCATTCCCTCAGCAAGCATCCCTCCAGAGAGTGGGAGGAAACAGGGGAGACTGAGAGAGACTGGCACTACGGTGGCAGTGGGTATCTTTCCCGGGCTCACTCCTACACATCATTGCAGGTACGCTGGTCTGGACAAAGAAGGTTTTATTACAGTTGATCAAACTAAATGTTGCTTGGAGAATATCAAATGCAAAAAAAAAATGAAATTTCAAAGCATAGACAGAGTGGCGATAAAAGGGGTTAGAAATTGAGCTGAATGACCCCAAAGTGCACAAACCCTGCATGATATAATCTATTGCAGTTGCATTGCAGCTGCGTTGTTTCCACCTGCATAACATGTTAATGCTTAACCACATCTTCCACATCCACATCTGTGGATGTGAAACTCCAGAGGCTTCCCTGTTTTGCACAATCGGAAATTGATTATCCTCTTACCTACAAGCTGTTCCCTTTCAGAGGTCTGGCAGTCCCTCAGCAGATGAGGGAAGTTCCTTGAAAAGTAACCACAACAGATCAGAACAAATGCAGGTATGTGATATAACCGGTGTGTTTACAGTAATGTATGTAAGTGGAAATATCATGTCTCCCAGCGTGCCATATGGAGGGCGAGGTAACAGCTGATTACAAATATTTGTAATGAAGATAATAAACCCAGAGCACATACGGTTCAATACAAGTTTATTGCCCTTCGCTCTTATTTCAATATACGGTATCTTTCTGTTACATATTTACTAGACATGCTGGCAGCTTGTCGAGCGTTCACACAGATCCTGTTGACAACTGTAAAGAGTTTATGTACTTGGCACCCTAACCGGCTGCCATATCTGCAGTGTATCTACATTTTAACTGTTTTAACGGCTGGCTGCTGACTGCGTGTCTACTTAGACTTCACCTACACCCTACAGGCATTTCATAAGACTGACTGAGCTTTGTCAATTGTGGTCTGCTGGGGCATGTGTTGAAATTCCTGAACTGAAACCAATAGCTACTAAGAGAGGATTTTGGAGGGGGGAGTGCTGCTTTGTTAGCAAATCCAAAATATTTTCAGTCAGAAAAATACAGCACTTAAATTTGTTCTGTTTGTTTTGAAAGTTTTGGATTACTTACACTTTTTTGTGTCAAGGTGGAGATGTTTGGTCCCGAGGAGAGGAGGGGAGTGACACCTCATATTAAACAGAACTTTTTGCACATTTTTTCTTTAAAAACCAGTTGTGGCTGAAATTATCCAAAGAAATATTAAACCTCATGAAGCTGGGGATCCCACCGGACCCCCTTCAGCCCCCAAACACTGCTTTTATAGCTACTTTATTATTTTACCTGCAGCAAATGTTGTACGCAACTGCTGTACTTTTGACTCTACTACATTTATTTAAACTCTTTAGTTACACGCTACTTTGCAGATTTAAGTGAATGATACAAAATGTAAAAAAAATAATAAATTATTATATTTTATTAAGCTATCCAGCAGTATATCGTAAATCAAATATGTGCAACATTTAAGTGATGAACACATTATTGCATCAATAATTCTAATATACAATAATTAAATATACACGATTCTGAAATGTGCGATAATACAAAAAGGTACTTTTACTTTTGGTACTTACAGTATATTTTAATGCTGATTTTTTTGTACTTTTACTCCGTGGAGAAAGAAGTACTGAAATATTTCACTTATGTAAAATTAGCCATATTCAATTGTAAAAATACTCTGTTTGATAACTCATTAAAGTGTTCTCAAAGCTGGTAAAGGTGCAGCTAGTTTGAATGACTTTGTATACTGCAGGGTAGCTTGTGAACTAAAGTCTGATTTATGACTTGATTATATTTCACATCATTAATCCAGATCTGTAAAGTAATTTACGGTATTAAATTACATGTAGTGGAGTAAAAGTACACCATGTACCTCTGAATTGTAGTGGAGTAGAAGTACAAATTAGCATAACATTGAAATACTCAAGTAAAGTACAAGTACCTCACAATTGTACAGTACTTGAGTAAATGTACTTAGTTACTTTACACCACTGCAAATAAATGTAGTGGGGTAAAAAGTACAATATTGGCTTTCAAAATGTATTGGAGTAGAAGTATAAAGTAACATAAAATACAAATACTTAATGTAAAAGTACAACATGTAAAACCTACTTATCTGATTAAGTACATGACTTGAGTAAATGTACTTCACCACAAACCAGCAATGCTTTTACTCCAGCACAATTTTAAATGCAAGACTTCTACATGTAACTGAGTATTTGTGCACTGCAGTATTTCTGCTATATATCTTGGTACAATGTGTGAGTACTTCTCTGTTTACAGCACCGTGTGGTTAGGTAGGGTGCGCTTGTTTTCTCAACCGATCTTCTCGGATCCGCCCAGGAAGTGGCAGACACAGAGAGGGAGGCAGCGAGAAAACACAGCCGAGAAAAGGAGTATTACTAGCTGAAAAAGTTGTGAAATTACCACCTTTAAAACAACATTTAACCCGTGTTTTCTCCATGTATTTCCCCCTGAAAACTGGACACAGACTCAGCTTTTGACGCTGGTTGGGGGTTCGCTTGATTCTGTTAACATGGGGATGAATGGCGGGGTTTTATCTCATTTCGCATAACGTCGGTTTCCTGCGAGAAAGTGAAGTTTTACCCTCTAAAAACTGAGGAGTGGGATTAAGTTTAAGTAGGGTTTTTTTTTACCCTAAGTAACGGTACGCTTCTTTTGTCTTTATTTTACCCTCCCTGGACCCTGTTATCATGACGGTAAGTTGCACTTTAAAAAAAGCTGTTTGGTTTTTCCTGTCACTCCTTCCTGAATGTATTGTAGGCTACTTAAGTACAATTTTGAGGTAGCTGTAAAAGAGTGTTTTTAATTTATGTTACTTTAATACTTTTACTCCACTACATTTTGAAAAGCCAATATTCTACTTTTTACAGTGTAGGCTATAAAGTAATTAAAATGAGCTCCACATCTACCAGCTGTGATACACATATTTATAGTTAGGCCTATAATACAGCAATTTAATATATGAGTCTGAATGGGCCATTAGGATTAACAAATGATTTTACTTGTGGTACTTACACGCCAAATATTCTACTTTTTACAGCATATAAAGTAATTGAAATTAGCTCCACATCTACCAGCTTTGAAAAACGCATTAATGCATGAATAGCTTTAATACAGCAATTTTATATATGAGTCTGAATTGGGCCATTAGGCTTAACAAATAATAATACTTTTACATATTTTGAAGCTTATACTTTTGTGGTTATACTGAAGTAAGATTTTGAATGCAGGACTTTTACTTGTAGCAAATCGTTTTATATTTAATGTATAACATCTGAGTACTTCTTCCATGACTCTATACACACAGTGGGGGAAGAGGTATTCAGATATGTCTTTGAAGTAAATGTGCCAATACTAAATTGGAAAATACTCTGTTACAAGTAAAGTCGTTTTAAGTATCCAACCATACTCAACAAAATAAATGGAAAAGTACTCTCTGTGCTTTATGTCCAATTTCAGAATCATATAAATGACTGGATTATGATATAAATGTGTCTTTCAGATCACTTTATATACTGCTTATATATATATACCTATAAACCAACGTCTATGTTTTAGTTTATATCTACCTTGTATTAGCTAACAATCTGAACCTTTAAATTAACCAGTAGTTTAAGATGTCAAATAAATGTAGTGTATCAAACAATACAATAATGGCTTCAAAAATGTAGTGGCATCAAATGAAAATACTCAACTTAAGTACCTCAAAACTGTACTTCGGTACTTCTTTATACACAGAAACGTTACATATGTTACATGTTCACATATACTGCAGGAGCTAGCCGTTTTTTGGTTTATGCTTTTTGTGTATGTTGAAGATTTTTCGATGGTCTTTTCTGGTACAAGTTTATTTGGCTCAAGGAATGTGCAATTTATATCTAACTGTAAATGTTTCTGTCTGTTTTCCGTGGAGTTACCCTGATGAGCTGTACATGTACTCATGCTGTGTTGCTTCACCTTGTGTTGTTTACAGTAGCAGAAGAGTAATTAGCCGTTAGCTTGTACTCTAGATGTCAGTTTTTACAGCCAGCTGTGACACGTGTTTACACACAGACGCTGTCAAAACATTGGTAAAGATTTCTTGGCAAAGTAACATAACAAATATTGCTTCTCCAAACCGTTATAATTGTGTATGTTTCAACACAATGAGTGCATGTACATGTATCATTGGCTTAGGAAAGGTAATTTAACTAAACAGTATGTTTTACTAGGCATTCTGGCATTAAAGGGGCCCTATTATGCTTCTGGGGGGTTTTCCCTTTCCTGTAGTGTGTTAAACTAAAACGTCCCATACAGTTTCTCTCCCCCCACCAACTGAAAAACCTCCATTGGACTCCTTTGTTTACTTCCATAACATCATGACATCAATATGTAACACTTGCGCTTCTATTATCTAGCTCCAACACATTGTTCGTGATAGGGTAAGGGGCGGGACATCTCTAAGCAGTTGACCAATCACAACAGAGCCGGCCAGCTAACCAATCAGAGCAGACTGGGCTCTGGTTTTAGACAGAGGGTGAAAAGAGGTGCTGCAGCACAGGCAGTATGAGAAAAATAAAGAGCTTTTTGAACACTAAAGCTTGGACACATGTCACAATGGTTTGGCTCATTTGAAGATAATGCAGTAAAACTTACAATGTTTTGGCAAATTGAAATCTAATATACTTGTAGGATTCTTGCTTTTTGAGTGTCTATCTTCGTGGTTGAGTGCACCTTTTGTAATTGAAGCGTCAGATAAATGATAGGAGTCAGAAAGAATGGACGTTGTCTCAAAATGTCCCCAGAGTTTGACCCTCTTCTCTCTGTCGCTGACCTTTTTAAAGCGAGGTCGCTGATTCTAAAACACATGACAGAAGAAGCTCTGTGGCATCAGGTTGATTCAGAACAGATGCTGCAGGTCTTTTCTTCCTGGGTCCTGCTCATGTAACCTCTCTCTGACCTCACTATGGGCATGTATCGACTGGATAACATTTCATGAATTCATGATGATGAAGTCTGACACATTATGCTCCAGTGGTCGAGTACTTTGAGCGAGGATCTTATGAGAAGAGTCCCTAAAACAAGCTTCCTTTTGTATTATAAATCGAGATTAGAGCTGCTTGTGTATTTATCGGTTAATCTGCGGATTATTTCCCAAATAATCCAAAAGTGGACTTGTCAGAAGAGGCTGCAAAATGCTGATCTGTGCTTCCCAAAGCCTAAGAGTAGATGACGTTATCGAGTTTCTTGTTTTGTCCACAACTCGAAACTCAATCAAAACTATGAATTTTTTAACAAAATAGTTGGTGTTTGGTTGAAATACAGTAACGTTTTTTATATAATTAGTCAGAAAATTGCTAAATAAAATGCTGATTAAAGTTTCCCAAAGCCCAATATTTACTGTCATAGAGGAGCAAATAAACAGAATCTGAATACTTCATTTTCCCGGGATAAATTGGGTTTTGTGAAAAATAAAAGTTAAAAGATATTTAAGTAATAATTTGCAATAAAAAAACCTGAAAATACTAACAGTTAAGAATCTGGAATAGTAGAATGTGTACTTTTGATTTCTTTAATAGTTGCTCAAAATGCTAAATCACTTCAAGATTAATTTAATAGTGGAGTGTGTGTGTGTGTGTGTGTGTGTTGTGTGTGTGTGTGTGTGTGTGTGTGTGTGTGTGGTGTGTGTGTGTGTGTGGTGTGTGTGTGTGTGTGTGTGTGTGTGTGTGTGTGTGTGTGTGTGTGTGGTGTGTGTGTGTGTGTGTGTGTGTGTGTGTGTGTGTGTGTGTGTGTGTGTGTGTGTGTGTGTGTGTGTGTGTGTGTGTGTGTGTGTGTGTGTGTGTGTGTGTGTGGTGTGTGTGTGTGTGTGTGTGTGGTGTGTGTGTGTGTGTGTGTGTGTGTGTGTGTGTGTGTGTGTGTGTGTGTGTGTGTGTGTGTGTGTGTGTGTGTGTGTGTGTGTGTGTGTGTGTGTGTGTGTGTGTGTGTGTGTGTGTGTGTGTGTGTGTGTGTGTGTGTGTGTGTGTGTGTGTGTGTGTGTGTGTGTGTGTGTGTGTGTTACTTACTTACACACGGTCCATTGAGAGTCACCAGACCTTAACATGACAGCAGCGTAGATTAACTTGTTTATTCTGTTCAGGGTAAAACTGGGTGGTACTGTGGCTTAAAAAAAAACAACACCAGGAAGTGAGAATAAACACAGACATGATGAGAGAGAAATCATATTAACAGAGAGGGAGTCGTAGAGATAACAAGTGAAAGGAATGATGAATTCAGAAAGAGATTAAAAAGTGAGGAATGTACATGTTGTGAGAGATGAGAGAATTGAGGAATGTACAGTGGACAAAATGGCCTAATCTTAATCTGGGATCATCGCATTTTGAGGTTCCTACTTCTGGATTGAAGTTTCTCCACAGCAGAAACTGGTTTACGGTCTTTGTGGCACAATATGTCCGCAGCATTGTCTCTTTTTACTTCATGAACAATGATAAAGAAAGGAATTATGGTTGCTGTTATTTAGCTTGTAAAGAGATGTAACTATATTGAGTTTGCCCCACCCTGCGATAGCTTCTGTCTACTCTCTCTGTAAATCCTTTGAGGCCTGCTCGTGATGAAAGGTCAAACAAATGACTGACCTTGACGGATAAAGACAGCACAGTTCCTTCCTGCAGTCAACTTGTGTATTTGCAACATATTTGTCAAATATTTATATATATATTGTGGAGGAAACTTCTGTGTAGTAATGCATGGAGTCACCGACTCAGGAAGGAGACACGGTGAGAGTTGGAGCTTTGATGTCAAACACTGATGGGTTTATTCAGAGTATTCGGCCGGAGGATTCACATCACAAATCAAAGAGTCAGAGGTTCTGACTCCACGGTAGAGTTGCCACGTCAATTCTGAAGAACCTCTCTCTATGCTAGACCTTTTAACTGGTTCACAGAGAATCAACATCTCTGAAGGAGTAGACTAAACAGCTGGGAACACTGAGCCACCTGCGTCCGACACTCATGGCCTCAAAGATTTCACATCTTAGAGTCCACAAACACCGATAAGGAAGTGCCTCAGCGTTCTCACAACAATTACCATTCGTGCCAGACAAGTTGACCGGTCACAAACTGGTGACAGCAACACATATGGCACCAATGCCTTTCCTTAAAGGAGATAACAGACGTCAGAGTAGATCATAAAACGTCACAGAGCAAAAGGTTAGATATCTAGAAGAATTATTCCTTAACATATATCACTGTCTTGCAATCAGCTTCTAAAAGTCTGAATATGTAAGACTGCTTTTATTCAAGGCATTTTTCTTGTCTTGTTTTATTCTGTATATAAAAGCATGAGATTGATTTGAAACCAAGTCATAAATAAGATGGTGAACATGGAGAAGACGTCACTAACATCCTGTTTCCCCTCAGCCTGACCTCCTGAACTTCAAGAAGGGGTGGATGTCCAAACTGGACGACAGCGGAGAGGTAAGAGCATTAATTGTACTCAAATATCATCCTCTTCCTCCATCTTCATCTTCCTCCATCTTCACCACCCTCCTATTCCTCCATCTTCACCACCCTCCTCTTCCTCCATCTTCATCTTCCCCCCCCTCTCTGCTGTGTGTAAGGTGATAGCAGCTCATTCTCACAGCTCTGCAGGCAGAACAGCTGTCTCTCAGAGCTCCAGTGATAATGAGCTGCTCCTCACACACATCACACACTGCTGTTAATATGCAGCCTTACTGTAGGCATTGCATATTCAAACTAGGGCTGAAGCATTTGGAAAATAAACCTCATTTGAACTGTTTTCATTGACATTGCAACTGCAAGTGATGCACGATATTGTATCATTTTTGCATTGTTATTTTCATGAAACTATACTACTTAGTTTAAATGATCGTGGGTGTGGTTTTGAAGAGAATGTGTATCATACAAAAGTGTGTACATTACCATTTGTAGGCTCAGTCATCTCTACATCACTACAATACTTAATTCATAAGATTATAAATATTTGTTCCTTCATATCGAAAAGTGCTTTTGGATTTAATGCATACAATTAGCAATTTATTAATCGTCTTCTTTATTCATGTGAAAATATGGGTTTGTATTTCCTAAAGCCTGCGTCACACTGTCCCGAAATTAACACCAGATGGACACACGATAAAGGAAATGTTCAAATTCGGCTCTGATCGTAACATCGGGCCATTCGTGAGGGCATCTTAAGCCATCGTATGACCGCCGGTGGAGTTTCTCAGGCTCCGGCAGCAACTTCGTGAGCGGTGGCAAAATCTTTGGCATGCCAAAAAAATTGCCGAAAGACCTTGCGATGGTTCATTTTCGTGTTGAATTCGTGTGTCCATTTTGCCCTTCGTAAGGCCATCGTGAGGGCATCTTGTCAAATCGTGTCATCTTCGTCTGATCATCGGTGCCATCGGGCATTTTTCGCCTCACGAAGACAATACGAAGGAAACAAGAAGCTGCCCGATTGTCTTAGGAAGGCAACACGACTACGTGAAGCCGTCGTGTAGCCATCGTATTATAGTACGATGACATCGAGGCGAGTTTACGCTGTTGACAGGAAGTTGTTGTTGCTATGGAAACAACATGGCGGAGTGTGAGTCTGTAGGCATCATACTTGCTTCGGCTGTTGCTTGGCTGTTGACCAAGTTCGGGGCCATCTTCGTGCGAAATTCACAATTCCATATTCCATCTGGTGTCAATTTCAGGACAGTGTGACGGGGGCTTAACAAAGTACATGTATGGATGAACTAGGTCAATCAATAGTCACAACAAAATATATTTCACTAATACATATTGCGACTTATTACATTTTAAGAAATGGTTCGGCCCTAATGCCAATTTGTCTTAATCAAGTAGTAATAGTGCTTTATTATTTACGTTATCGTGCAAAAGTCCATTCTCAAATCTCATTTTATTCTTGGATTAATTGATATCTTCTTTGCTTCTTTAGTGGAAGAAGCATTGGTTTGTTCTGACTGACGCTGGACTGAAGTACTACAGAGACTCGAGTGCAGAGGAGGTTTGTTTGAATGTTTATTATTAACACTTTGATGACTACTTGAAGTGCAACAGCATGTTGAGTGAAAGTGTTAAGAGAAGCAGCGTTTAGCTATCATGCTCCACAGAAATCTCTATCTTATATTCGTGTATTTTATACCTGTATTACTGTATTTATCTTGTTTCAATTAGTACTTTCTTGACTTTTTTATATGTGTTTCTGTTGCACTATATCTTAATGCTTTTACATTTTTTTTGTAACACACTTTTAATGGCCGTTCTGCTTAAATATGCTTTATAAATAAACTTGCCTTGCTGTGCTCTCTGTACAGAAAGATGAGCTGGACGGGGAGATTGACCTCAAATCGTGTGTGAAAGTGTGTGAGTTTGACGTGGAGAAGAACTATGGGTTTCAGGTACAGGTGAGTGTCTCAGTTACAGCTTAATCCCTCTCATACACAGATTCATTTTTCTATATTCACACCTTTTTGTCTTCCTATCACCACACCCTCTCTCCATTTCCTCTCCTGCATTTATTTGTTATTTTATTATCATGACTCACATCTCCTCCTCCTTTCTTCCTCTCTGTATCCTCTCCTTCTCTGTATCCTCTCCCTCTCATCCCAGTTCTGTCACGTCTTTGTTTCTCCTGAACCTGTTTCTCTTGGTCTCTTTTGTTCCTCAGACGAGGGACTCCGCGCACACTCTGTCGGCCATGACGGCGGGGATCAGGAGGAATTGGATCGAGGTTTTAAAGAAGTGTATAAGACCCAGCAGCTCTCCAGACCTCACACAGTAAATACCTGTTTAATCATTATATATAAAAGGTTTTATTTAAATATAGATTACCTAAAATGTTGAAAAAAATACATTGCACATGAGTTAAAAATTAAAATAAACACAGTAAATATAGTACTTTTCCCAGTATAGTTCCGATAGTTCTTGAAATTTTGCGTTCATACCAAAAAAATCCGGAACTAGAACTTAGTTCATGAGAACCTTTCCACCCCCTTTTCAGTCCCTGCTAGAGAGCAGGGACTGAAAAGGGAGAAAAAGGTTCCCATTTCTGATTGGCTGGGCTGCAAACCACGCCCCGTAAAACTCTGAAAGGTTTTTTGTAGCCGCATTAGCCCAGCGCACCAACGGAGAGAGACTAACTTATGGCAACACAAAAGAAAACATGGGAGCGGTGGAGATGAGGAGGTGTCGGCGTTCTGGCGATTTACTCGGAAGGCTTCAGTAGAAGCTGCTGGGAGTCCCAGCAGCTTCTACTGAAGCCAGTCCCCAACTCCGGGGACTTCCGGCCGGGGACTTCGGGTGGCAGTATACGCCGTGAAGTTGTTTGCGGCCTGCCAGTAAACCCAAAGCAGAAGAAGAAGAAGTGACGTCAGCGGCTTCGTTTGACTAATCCTCCCTCAGGGAACTTATTCCGGTGTGAACGCGATCTGTACATAGTTCATCAGAACTAAAGAGTTCTGATGAACTATGTACGGCAAAGTACTTGGTGTGAAATCGCCTATTGAATAAAAGGCCCTATTATGCTTTTTGGTGGTTTCCCCTTGGGTTTTTTGTGCATGTAAATGGTCTACAAAGGCTAAAATCCCAAATGTCTAATTTCCCCCTGCCTGAAACGCCTCCATTGGACCCCTTTGTTTAATTCCTGAACATAGTGACATCACTATGTAACACTCGCGCTTCTATTGGCTAGCGCTCCAACACATTGTAGGTGATAGGCTATGGGGGCGGGACATCTCGAAGCGGTTGACCAATCACAACAGAGCCGGCCAGCTAACCAATCAGAGCAGACTGGGCTCTGGTTTCAGACAGAGGGTGAAAAGAGGTGCTGCAGCACAGGCAGTATGAGAATAAAGAGCTTTTGTTGTGTAATAATCATAGAGAGAAAGTGTCAGTCAAAAATGTATAACTGTCATGGATTGGTTTTAACATCTCAAGCATTTCAAATACCAACAGTTATTGTATGTTGCAACTTCCTGCCGTAATGAAGCAGCATATTTCTTTGCCTCAGCCTTCCTGCATCGCTCACTTGAGGTGTAGCTGCAGCTCAGGCTGGGCTAAATCAGATATGAGGCTCTGTTACTCACATGTATTAACAGCTTTGACCCTTCGAGTTGAATTCTCTGTATACTTTGTCTGTGAGAGATGAATGAAAGTTTCATGAATCCACCAGGAGCACTGACGCTGCGCCTCCAGGGTTCATGTTGAGGCCTTGTATGCTTTCACATATTACGCTAACCTTGGTGACTAAGTGATGGATTACTTCTTTATTTCATATAAAAAGAGTGTTGCCGTGATGATGAATTTTTGGGGATTTTTCATATTGGATGTTGGAATATTGCAGAAAATAAGATCTGTGGCAATCGCACGTTGAAGATGAAATGTGGCTCTGAGTTTAGCACTAACTAACTAATTTAGGACTCATTCCTGCACCAATTTTTAGGATTCATGAGGTCAGAAAAATAAGAAATAATGTTTTGATTCATCCATTTGTCTTGATAGGCTTGATTTATTGTTTGTATGTCTTCTTCTCCAGATTACCAGACGGCAGCAGTGATAAGGAGAACTCTCATTCCCGCTTCCTCCAGTCGTCCCGCCGCCCGTCGTCCCGTCACGCCGAAGCCCCCTCAGAAGCCCCGCCCCCGGCTCCTCCCACTCACCGCAGGTTCGACTACGTGGAGCTCTCTCCGGTTCCCGTCCCCGCCGGGCAGAGAGAGGCAGCCGAGGGTCAGGGCCGGGAGCACAGCCAATGGCAAGAGGAGAGGAACACCAGCAGCCAATGGGAGGCCGTGCTGTCCAGGAAGGGCACCGGCGCGGGATCCAATCAGAGGCTACGCACCGAGGATGACGTCGAGAAAAAGTGGGCTGAGTTCGAACGCTTGCCGCTGAAGGAGATGAGCTCCTTACCACCAATGGGAACACAGCCTTCCAGCCAGTCAGCCAATGAGGCGCTGCAGAGGGAGGTAGTGCGTGGAGATGATTTTTTTCCAATTTGCACATTTATAAATAAAATGCAAATTAACTCATCGGTTCGGATGAAGTTAACATTTCCTCTTTCCGCCTGTTAACACTTGAGCCACTGTCTTTTCTGACCTGCTCTTCATCAGTGTTTTCCATACTAAAATAGTAAGATTAGCCTGACAGGATTACAGTGAATGTGATGACGTTTTGAAAAAATAACTATTATTCTGACTGATATTGTAACTGCGATATGATTCTTGATATTAGAGGGGAAAATATACTAAGAAATACATTACAACTATCATGTTTTTTAAGAGAATATGGATCAAACTAGGATTTTTAATGAGGTGTGTAGCCCCACAATACTTTATTCAGATATTTTCACATATGCTACCTGTACCAAATATTGTCTATTTTGCGATTTAAATCCCATGTTGATTAATTGTGCAGCTGTAGTTTGGGAAACACTGCTGAAACTCCTCTGTTCTTCTCTGTGTGTTGTGATGTGCAGCTTTGGTTTGAACCTGTTTGAAGTCTCTCTACACGTGACACTGGGCGAAGAACAATTTACTTTATAAACAAGAGATGTTACGTTCATGCCAAAGACAATTGATGTGCATTCATTCTTTAATTAAGCTATTATTACCCTTTAATGGGAGCTGAATGCTGCCTTTGTGTTCAAGCTTCCTCTGCAGCTTGAGTCTAATCAGGCTTTGAAAGGTCAGCAGGGATTGGGGTCAAAGTTGAAATGATTTCAACTTTGAGCACCAACAACAACACAACACAAAACCTCATCATTAGTCTGTCCATAGAAAGACTCTGTGGTGCAAAGTGGTTCTGCCAGTGATCAGGTGTGGAGTGTGTGTTGGCAGTGAGACAATGGAAAAGTTAAATGTTAAATGTTAATTAAAGGTGGGGTAGGTAATTTTGGAGAAACCAGCTTGTAATGACATGGTTTCTCTGCATTTGACCCATCCTAGTGTTAGGAGCAGTGGGCTGCCATTATGTACGGCGCCCGGGGAGCAGTGTAGGGAACGGTGCCTTGCTCAGGGACACCTTGGTAGCACTTGGTCTTGCCGGGACTTGAACTGGTGACCTTCCAGTTGCCAAGCCAAGTCCCTATGGACTTCGCCACCACCGCCCAACTTGATCTACTTGGATGTTTATGTACATTTTTTAATATATTTAATATATATAAAATATTAAGTTAAAGGTGGGGTAGGTCATTTTGAGAAACCAGCTCGAGTGCGCTAGAATTTGAAAATACACAACCGGAAAAAATCTGCCCCTTCCTTCAGACTTCCTTACAGAGCCCCTCCTCCAACACACACGAACACGCACATGACCAATGAGGGCACGAGATAAGTTTGTGCACAGATGGAAGGCTGACAGGCAGGTAGGCCATCCAGTTATTTTAGCCGGGCCGGCTCAGATGATTGGTCGTGCTTTTTACAGTACTACGGCTTCCACAGATTACATTTTTTCATGGATTTTTTGTCAAAGCACTTCAGATATTCATTGCTATCGGGATGTTAAGAGCATTCCATGGAATATAACAAAAAGTGTATCTCGAGCCGATTTCTCAAACTTACCTACCCCACCTTTAAGTCGATAATGTTTAAAAGTCAGTGAGTATGAAAGAAATATTCCTACTGTCAGTTAAGCATTGAAAAGCATCTCCTGTCTTTATTTTACGCCTGTACGATTTTGACAAATAAGTTATTGCGATTACTTTGACTGATACTGCAATTTAGAACAGATTGTATGTAGTACGTGTTGCCGGGCTATTTAATCTCTTTACATCATGCAGCCTTTTCTATATTTGTTGAAACTACACTGAATAATATGTATTTGTCTCTAAGGACATTATCACTGTGGGAAAAGCACAGGTGTGAAGGTTCAAATAATTGATGGCAAGTAAAAGTCCTGCGTTCAAAAAGATTCAAAAACGTACTTAAAGTGGACCTATCATGCTATATTTGAATAATATAGTGTAGGACCATACCTATATAAGGCATATTTATACTTTTTTCAAAATACCAAACAGATCATGCATTTTAGCCATGCCTCATTTTGCTCAATTTGACATTTTTTAGCTCTGTTTTTGCAAGGGCTGATTCTGTGAGAACAGCACCATCTACAGGCCTGGCATATGTACTACAACGTCTCCAGCGCTTTCGAACGGCAATGGCCGTGGCTGTCTCCTCCTGATTGGTGGAGTTGGCCCAATAGCCGTAGCCCTGACGTCAGGACAGTGTTCAAATCTGGATCAGTTTTTATCAGATCCGTTGCAGCCCCTTTTTTAGAGATTTGGGTATGGAGGAAAATAGAGAGGGTTGTGTTTTCTGACACTTGGTGAGTTCCCTGGAACACCGGGGACACATATTCATGTATAAAAGACGTACAAAAGTGCATTTTGCATGATAGGTCCCCTTTAATGTAAATGAAGTGTACAAAAAATGTACTCAAAGTATCAAAATGAAAAGTACTCATCTGCAGAAACGTGAGATATTAATACATAGGACATTATTAGATTGTAAAGATGGAGTATTGCACTAGTCCAAAATGTGATTCCCATCAAATGTAGATGAATTTACAGCCCTAATTCATATGCTAATCCTCTCTCACTGCCAATACCACAATCTCATGTAAACATGCTGATCACATATTACCCCCGTCGCTCAGTGGGCTTTACCTCTGTCTCTGTGTTTCTCTCAGGTGGCGTCACTGAGGCAGCAGCTACAGCAACTACAGGGAGGAGGAGGAGGAGGAAGACTGGGAGGAAGAGGAGCAGGTGTGAGGGGGGGCTGTGGTCCGGAGGCTCCGTGCGGGCGCAGCCTGTTGGCCATGGACCAGGCTCACCACCAGGCTCTGGAGGAGCTGCAGAGGCAACACGAGAGGCAGGTGAAGCAGCTGGAGAGCGAGAAGGAGAGGCTGCTGACGGAGGAGACCAGAGACACAGCACGAGGTCAGGACACTGAAACACTCCTGGGGAGATCTGTAGGATGCTTTGAGCTCACTTACAAAATATGAGGAATGGTTAAAGTACTACATTAAATCTATATCATAGACATGGGTTGTACGTCAAAAGTCAGTAGGAAGGAATGGGTTGATATTCATGTCAAAGACCATAAGCTCATAGAGTGGTTCAGGAATGACTCCTTAACCCGAAAATGAGTTAGCATTTGAGCACTCAAAGTCAGTTTTTTTTATGTGTTTAAAGGAGAGGTGTCATGGCCATTTCCACTGATCATAATTCCATTGTTGAGGTCTACTTAAATAGATTTATACTGTGCATTTTTCCAAACTCACATTGGTTTCTCATACAGCATCTCTGTAAGCTACGTGTATTCACTGAATTTCACTCTCTGCCTTTAACGGCTCGTTGTAGCTCCAATAGCTCCAGCCCCCACCCTCCCTGTGAGCACAGTGTGCTCTGATTGGTCGGGACGTTGTGAATCGCGCTGAGCTCCGTGGAGGTGTTGTTTCCTTGTTTAGCGATACACAGCCAAACTCATCCTGAGCACACACAAAGTCACAGCCGAAGTAAAAACAATAAGTGTGGCTTGATATTGAGTAAGAAAAAGGTTGATAAACGCTGTGAGAATGGGTCTGCAGAGAGAATTTCGCCGCGATCCCAACTGTCTGTTATCAGCCTGCAGCCAGGGAGGAGAAATCAGCTGAGCTGCCTGCTCCCTGCACACAGATGTGTGTGTGAGGAAGTCCATGGATTGGTCAATTTGGACCAATCAGCGGGGGCTTAACGCAACGGCTCCGCGGACGTAACGTAACGGCTCCACGGATTGGTCCATTTCGTTCCGGGTACGGCTTGACATCATGCCGTACCCGGAAGAATCAAATGGACAGTGACGTATCTCCGAGGCGTTTTGGGGAGGTCTTTTCTGTGTTAGAGTTTTACTCGCTACAGGGTGTACTTTGAGGGTTTTGACTCTGCACACCGTTTACATGCATAAAAACCTTCATAACACACAAGGGGACGGGTAATAACCGGAAAAGCATGACACCTCTCCTTTAAGTTAGATGCCGGAAATGTGGCCTGTGGTTAATACTACATTTAAAAATGTTGCTCCATGACATTAAATACGACAGTGAAGACGATAAAGATTTGTTGTATTCACTGTGATCTTCTTTCTTGGCTTGGTTGGTTTTACCTTGCTGAGATTTCCAGCTAACAGGAGATCATTTTGAAGTTGTGTAACCCTTGTGTGTTTCAGTGATGGAGGCTTTGAAGAAGAAACACAGAGACGAGCTGGAGAGAGAGGTGGAGAGAGTCAAGAGGCTGGGCAGCGGCGGGGGGGTGGATTCACACACTCTGAGAGCACATCAACAGTAAGTTACTTCAAAACTCATATTTACAAACTCCTTCAAAAAAGCCTGCCCTCAGATAAAAGAATAACTGGCTTATAATCAACCAGTGATGTCAATCTGTCAAATTGTATTAGCATAGCCTAATATCCCAAATAACACATTTGTCTTAGGGGGCTTTACATGCAATTGAATGATTTTTTTTTTTTAGACATGAGTGCATACAGAAAGAGAGAAAGACTATCAGGAGATGAGACGTGAAATATGAAAGCTATAAAAGTAATATTCATCAGATTGTCAAAGCCTACAGCGGGACAACTCGGGGCTGGTTCAAGGTGAGCCTGAGCCAGCCCTAACTATAAGCTTTACTTGAAAAGAAACGCCTAATTATGACACAGCAAATAAAAGTTACAGGGGGTCCGCGGGGTCTTAAAAAGTATTAAAAGTTGATAAATCAATTTAGCGAAAATGAAGGCTATTAAAAGTATTAAACGGCATTTTCCAAGGTATTACATTCTGTAGCTTGTTTTCAATAAGTATATAAATTGTCCAAAGAGGTTGTATTCTACAGTTTGCCTGAATGTAATCATTGCGTAGGTGTGTAGTGTGATTCTGTGTAGTTTATTTATGGCATCCCGTTGGATGTGACGTCATCTGAACAGGACATCGCACGCTCACTGCTTGATAGCGCGGAGGTCCGTTCACGCCGGTTGTTAAACAACATCGTTATGGGGAAATGCAAGTTTGCGTCCAAATGGTTGGAAGATAAGGAGGAAGGACAATCAATACTGTATATAGTCAATGTGAGGTAAAGTGTGTCGCCAAGGTAACCGGTTAAAACTCCAAGTGGCGACGAGGTCTTAAAATGTATGGAAAGGGTCTTAAAAAAGGTCTTAAAAGGAATTACATTTGACTTCAGGACTCCTGCATATACCCTGAGTTAGCGTCTATAAAATCCCTGCAAAAACCCAAGAAATGAAACTTTTCTAAATGCTCTTGTGTGAGCCTTTTTTTCATCCCGCCTTGAAACTAAACTCTAGTTGAAGCCTGGCCCCGAGTCTCTGTCAGTGCGGCCAGCAGGGGTAATTTATGTGAACAGCTCTCTTGTGCTTTAAAGTGGGAGTTCTCTGGCCTCCGAAGTGTTTTCAGAGAAATAAAAAAGGTAGAATTTGCCGACTGAACAACAATCCTTGTTGAATGGAGGCCATTACCGCAGCGGCCGCCGCTCGGCTCTTAAGGAATGCAGAAGAATTCAGTCATGGATTAGTTTCCCTTTGTGAGCTTCACAAGGCCTTTGACAGAACGACGCTGCTGCTGCTACTCGACCCTGCATTTTAAGGCTTATCTTTGTTGCCTACTCTACGTTTTATAGTCTTTATCTGCTGTGCATGCTCTTCCTTATTTCTGTGGTTATCGGTCGTGACCAGTAGAGTATTTTGAAACCGCAGGAGGAAACGGTTGCGTAATAAAAATGGAACAAAATACTCCTTCACAACATGTTGATGTTATTAGATGTATTCAATACTATGTATACTTTTACTTTAGAGGTATTCAGTAACAGAGGGCAGAATAAAAGAGACACACTTTAAAGGAGATGAATTACAAGGTTAACTTTGGTTATATAAAATATACAAAACAAGTCGTCCCATTGGAGCGGTGCTTTGCTTTTTTTACTTTTTATTGTCATTACGTAGTACAGGTACTATGTAATGACATGGTTTCTCTGCATTTGACCCATCCTAGTGTTAGGAGCAGTGGGCTGCCATTATGTACGGCGCCCGGGGAGCAGTGTAGGGAACGGTGCCTTGCTCAGGGACACCTTGGTAGCACTTGGTCTTGCCGGGACTTGAACTGGTGACCTTCCAGTTGCCAAGCCAAATTGCCACCACCGCCCAACTTGATCTACTTAGATGTTTATGTACATTTTTTAATATATATAAAATATTAAAGGTGGGGTAGGTCATTTTGGAGAAACCAGCTCGAGTGCGCTAGAATTTGAAAATACACAGCCGGAAGAAATCTGCCCCTTCCTTACAGAGCCCCTCCTCCAACACACACGAACGCGCACATGACCAATGAGGGCACGAGATAAGTTTGTGCACAGATGGAAGGCTGACAGGCAGGTAGGCCATCCAGTTACTTTAGCCGGGCCGGCTCAGATGATTGGTCGTGCTTTTTACAGTACTACGGCTTCCACAGATGACATTTTTTTATGGATTTGTTGTCAAAGCACTTCAGATATTCATTGCTATCGGGATGTTAAGAGCATTCCATGGAATATAACAAAAAGTGTATCTCGAGCCGGTTTCTCAAACTTACCTACCCCACCTTTAAAGACACAGATATTGGTATATTTATTTTATGTTTATTTGCTGTAAAGAACAACTGAGAAAAATAAAATGTTGGTCTTAAAAAAAGTGAGGGAAAGAAACAATTAGTAAGTGCTGTTTATAATATTCTTACCACAGCTCAGAACAATTAAGAAAATGCTTCAAAACATAATTAACAGTGATTTTCTGTTTTTTTACAGATGTTTTTAGAAATATGATCTGTGTTGAAAATGCTTTTTCATCAACTGTAGGTTTCAAAACGTTACCCTCTCAGCAAAGATACAATTCTATGATAAACAAACTCTTTATATTTATTCCTGTAATTGTTTATTGTTTCTTTTCTAATTTTGCTGCACTTACAGTAGAAAGAAAGCAGGTAATGTGACGCACATTCTGTTATCCTTTGAACCTCCTGCATGCCAGTTGTTTCTCATTTCTGTGACTTAGTTCGATTTTGACCCCTTCACAAATCTATGTTTTCTTTGTGCAGGTCGGAGACTCAGGCTCTGCAGAGGGAGCTGGCCGGCCTCTCTGAGCGCTACTCTCAGAAATGTCTAGAGGTGAACCGATCGGAGCAGAGCAGCGCTGAGAGAGAGAGGGAGATCAGCCGCAAGGAGAGAGACATGGAGCAGCTGAGGAAGGAGAACCAGGTGAGACATCTTAAAAACTCATGAGAGAGACATGGAGCAGCTGAGGAAGGAGAACCAGGTGAGACCTCTTTAAAACTCATGAGAGAGAGAGCAGCTGAGGAAGGAGAACCAGGTGAGACATCTTAAAAACTCATGAGAGAGACATGGAGCAGCTGAGGAAGGAGAACCAGGTGAGACATCTTTAAAACTCATGAGAGAGAGAGAGCAGCTGAGGAAGGAGAACCTTCCTCTCAAAGTGAAAGATGGTTCTCCTTGATGTTTCACTGAATTATCCCGAGGCCTTGGCATGAAGTTTACATCATCAGATTTCACAGTTTGATCCTGAAATATAGCTGAACAGTTTTATGGACCGTGTGCATATCTCCCCCAGGAGTAAAGCAATGCATGATGGGAAGATCATGCATTGAGCCGTGTGTGTGTTTCTATCTGCAGCTAATCTATCAAACTACTGGACCATCAGCCTAATATTCTTTGTGACTCAAGGGTGTGTGTGTGTGTGTGTGTGTGTGTGTGTGTGTGTGTGTGTGTGTGTGTGTGTGTGTGTGTGTGTGTGTGTGTGTGTGTGTGTGTGTGTGTGTGTGTGTGTGTGTGTGTGTGTGTGTGTGTGTGTGTGTGTGTGTGTGTGTGTGTGTGTGTGTGTGTGTGTGTGTGTGTGTGTGTGTGTGTGTGTGTGTGTGTGTGTGTGTGTGTGTGTGTGTGTGTGTGTGTGTGTGTGTGTGTGTGTGTGTGTGTGTGTGTGTGTGTGTGTGTGTGTGTGTGTGTGTGTGTGTGTGTGTGTGTGTGTGTGTGTGTGTGTGTGTGTGTGTGTGTGTGTGTGTGTGTGTGTGTGTGTGTGTGTGTGTGTGTGTGTGTGTGTGTGTGTGTGTGTGTGTGTGCAAGTCACTGTTTTATTATGACACTTAAACCTGAAGTGGAACATTGCATCCAGGTTTCTGACAGCTGCTGTAAATAAAAAAAGTGCAAAGTCTCTACTCTCCCTTCATGGAAATAGTGATCCTAACCCTACAAATGTATTCCAACTTACTCGCATCATTCATTAAGACAAAACATTTCTCTTAATGCAGGACCTAAAGGCTCGTCTGGCGGAGGAGATGAGTCGAACACGATCTTCTAACACGTCTCAGAGCTCAGAGGACAGGACGCCCTGTGAGCTGGAGGTAACAACTTCTACACTCGTACTGCTGGCTTCCTGTCACTTCCTCAATAAAGACACACGTCCCATCAGATGTGTGAAAGTAACACCTGCTGCTAAACATGCTGACGTGTCAACAAGAGACGGGAAGAAATGTCAACAAGGCAGCTCGCTCTCTCTGACTGTCTATAATTAACCCCAGAACAATTCATAATATAAGTTCTAGTGAGTTAAATACACAGTAGATAAAGAGAGGAAAGGCAAGGCAGGTTTATTATGGAGCACATTTCAACACAAGGAAATAAAATACAAATAAAACAAGCTGGAGTAGAATAAGACGGGTATAAAAGTTACAAATGTTTGGAAACAGATTCAGAAACCACTGGAATCTCATTCTCCCAATAGTATAGTAGTATTGATATAAGTGTAGCCTAATATTTATTTGCAATTGTGCCGAAATACAACGTTTAAAAAGAATAAATCCATGCAAAGCAGCTTTCAAATCTTGCTTTAGAAATGAAATGTCTCCGTTATGATTAAAGCTTTCTCTTCTGCACAACCCTATTATTTCCTGTTTACCAAACTAGTGTTGCAGCAGTTTGGAGAACACAAAGGGAATCTCACGGTAAACAGCAATTAGCCCGAGTTTTGTACAAAAGAAATGTCAGAGGACGCCCACGGTGTTTCTCATAAATCAGCCAGGACACAATTGCTTTCTTGTGGACTGACGTGATAATTATATCCATTTAGAGACGAGTACTTTCTCTCTTTCTCTCTCTCTCTCTCTGGCAGCAGATGATAACCACGCTGTTGTTGTTTTTCTGCCAGGTTCTTCTCAGGGTGAAGGAGAACGAGATAGAGTATTTACACAAGGAGATCAGCTGCCTGAGGAACGAGCTGCAGTTCCTAAACGCGGTATGTGTGTGTTTTAGACAGAAATGTGTGTTTTTTTCTGTCAACCTTACACTATTGGATGAATTACAGGCACAATAAATCCTGACATCCTTGAACAAATGTCTTAGAGCAGAGAAGATTTCTGATGGGTACAGTACAAAAAAAACAAAGAAAGGTCATGTGAAATGACACTTGGATGAGTCAAAGTAATTGGATAAGATGATAAAAAATACAATAGTGGCCCTTGTTTGATTCGAAACCCTGCACCATTGTGGTGTGTGTGGGTGTGTGTGTGTGTGTTGTGTGTGTGTGTGTGTGTGTGTGTGTGTGTGTGTGTGTGTGTGTGTGTGTGGTGTGGTTGTGTGGTGGTGTGTGTGTTGTGTGTGTGTGTGGGTGTGTGTGTGTGGTGTTGTGTGTGTGTGTGTGTGTGTGTGTGTGTGTGTGTGTGTGTGTTGTGTGTGTGTGTGTGTGTGTGTGTGTGTGTGTTGTGTTGTGTGTGTGTGTGTGTGTGTGTGTGTGTGTGTGTGTGTGTGTGTGTGTGTGTGTGTGTGTGTGTGTGTGTGTGTGTGTGTGTGTGTGTGTGTGTGAATCCTTACTTCCTTCAACAAGGTTATTCAAGTTTTATTATACAAATAATTAAATTTGATTTAACCTTTCCATGAAACAGAGGTTACATAAAATGTTTGTGTGTACTGAATTAATATTGTTCATTTTAAAAACACATTTTTTTGGAGAAGGTATGCAGGTTTTTTCTTTCTTAGTGGAAGTCATGTTGGACTAACATGATCCAGTATCTGGTTGATGAAGTTATAGACGAGGCAGATTGAGGAACTTAACCCTCCTGCTCCTGTCCTCTCTCAGATCTCTGCACTAGCTACCAGTAGCTTCCAGAATCCATTTTGAAAATGGTATTGCTGACTTATAAAGCATTACATGGTTTGGGACCCCAATATATGTCCGACATGCTTCTCTGTTGCGACCCAGAGGTCTGAGATCATCGGGAGCGGGCTTACTCATTGTTCCCCGGCTCAGAACCAAACACGCCGAAGCTGCTTTTAGTTTTTATGCTGCCCTCAAATGGAATAAACTTCCAGAGACCCTGAGGTCTTCACCAACGCTGAGTTCTTTTAAGTCAAGGCTAAAAACACGACTTTTTACAGCTGCTTACCCAGAAGTCTTTTAACTTGTTTTAGCACCTAACGTATTTACAATTATTCCACGATGTTTATTTATTGTGTTCCTTTCTGTGGTCTTCTTGTTAAGTGTTAATGATGATGTAAAGCACTTTGAATTGCCTCTGTGTCTGAAAATGTGCTATATAAATGAACGTACCTTACCTCTCTCAGGAGAAGCGTCTGGCCTCTGATCGATACACGGAGATGCACGAGGAAATGAGTGGGATGAAGGGCCGCAGCGAGAGGGAGGTCCAGAGTCTGAAGGAGCACCTGAGGCTGGCCATGGCCGCGCTGCAGGAGGGCCAGAAGCTGGGGAACAGCCTGGATCACTGAGAGGGGCTGCTGGTACTGACAGGTGGGACAAAGTCATCAGTAAAACTCACCTGTTCACCATGGCCTTTGACCCCTAACCCATCACAGTCCCCCTGTTTGTTTGTTTGTTTGTTTGTTTGTTTGTTTGTTTGTTTGTTTGTTTGTTTACCATGTAAAGCGGCCTAGGGTCCCTTGAAAGGCGCTATACAAATGTAATCTATTATTATTATTATTAACTTCTTCTTTTGAGATTTTGATTTTCCTTACTTTTGAAAGTTTTCTTATTTAAGTTTTGAAATTATTTGGCAGTTTGTAGTTTTTTCGCAATAAGATTTGAAGTATTTCACCTAAAATGATGTAATTGGATAACTCACGCTTAAACTAAGTTTATTTTTCTTGTATCTTGACTTTATATAATAACGTTGGATTAGTTGCCAAATACATGTTGCTAGGTTTCGACTAAGCTGAGAACAATTAAAAAGGACATATTCTGCTCATTTTCAGGTTCATATCAGTATGTAGTCTCTACTTTAAAGAGTCCTCTCCTGCTGATGTTCAGGTGTATATCAGTATGTAGTGTCTCTACTTTAAAGAGTCCTCTGCTGCTGATGTTCAGGTGTATATCAGTATCTAGTGTCTCTACTTTAAAGAGTCCTCTCCTGCTGATGTTCAGGTGTATATCAGTATGTAGTGTCTCTACTTTAAAGAGTCCTCTCCTGCTGATGTTCAGGTGTATATCAGTATGTAGTGTCTCTACTTTAAAGAGTCCTCTCCTGCTGATGTTCAGGTGTATATCAGTATGTATGTCTCTACTTTAAAGAGTCCTCTCCTGCTGATGTTTCAGGTGTATATCAGTATGTAGTGTCTCTACTTTAAAGAGTCCTCTCCTGCTGATGTTCAGGTGTATATCAGTATGTAGTGTCTCTACTTTAAAGAGTCCTCTCCTGCTGATGTTCAGGTGTATATCAGTATGTAGTGTCTCTATTTTAAAGAGTCCTCTCCTGCTGATGTTCAGGTGTATATCAGTATGTAGTGTCTCTACTTTAAAGAGTCCTCTCCTGCTGATGTTCAGGTATATATCAGTATGTAGTGTCTCTACTTTAAAGAGTCCTCTCCTGCTGATGTTCAGGTATATATCAGTATGTAGTGTCTCTACTTTAAAGAGTCCTCTCCTGCTGATGTTCAGGTGTATATCAGTATGTAGTGTCTCTACTTTAAAGAGTCCTCTCCTGCTGATGTTCAGGTGTATATCAGTATGTAGTGTATCTACTTTAAAGAGTCCTCTCTTGCTGATGTTCAGGTGTATATCAGTATGTAGTGTCTCTACTGGGACATGTCTCCATGCTTTAAAGTTCAAAAAGCTCTTTATTTTTCTCGTACTGCCTGTGCTGCAGCACCTCTTTTCACCCTCTGTCTGAAACCAGAGCCCAGTCTGCTCTGATTGGTTAGCTGGCCGGCTCTGTTGTGATTGGTCAACCGCTTAGAGATGTCCCGCCCCCCTATTTGGAGTTTTTTTTAAATCCCCAAGTTCCCTCACACAGTTGAGACACAAAATACAAATATGAACCTGAAAATGAACATAATAGGAACCCTTTAAAGACTTATCACAAATATGTATTGAAGAAGCAGAATACTTTAAAAGGCAGATACTTGTTTAAATGTGTATTTTATATTTAATTATTTCTGTTTGTTCATTGTTTTGCAGGTGTGTCTGCTTCCAGGTGACTGAATCAAAGACAGAAATGCAGAGGAGAAGATAGTTGGAGTTCCAGCGTTGTCGGGACCAAGATAGTGCCTTTAGTTTTCAATCCTTCTGCCAATGAGCAGCATAGAGCTAACAGCTGGTTTTATTACACTGGGCCACACACGATAACATATATAAAACTGCACTTTTTTATTTCTTAATTTGCTTCTGCTTGCTTTGAGTACAAGCATGTATGAGAGCGAATTTGGTCTGAAAACTGGAATATTTGTTGTGTCTTTTTTGATCAGGTATTGTAGATAAGGAAGTGTCATTGCGTCTGTGATTTCAGCAACACAGTTACATACGAGCTTCTGTCCTCTCACTATGTTGTACAGCTTTTTGAGTCGTGTTTACTCTGTGAAAAGGAGCTCATCAATTGCTTTAATTATTTCTTTTTTTTTTACCTGGAAAGATGTTTTTGTTAAAATTTGGGATGAATACAGGACAAGACAGCAGACGTTTCGAACTCCTGGCTGGCTGAATTGGAAGTTGATCAATGTTTTTATACAAATTCAAGCACGACTTTCTTTGCTTGTAAAAGCTGTTGAATGAATGTTGTCCCACATGTTTTTATTTTAAAGTCTGAGAAGCAGCAGGCTTCCAGTTTCCCCTGATCATTGTTGGCATTATTTTTTTTGTGCCACTAACAAAACAAATGACAGGTGTTGCATCGATGAGCCAATCTTTTTTTATTGACAGTATGAATTGTGATAAATAGACTTATCTACCTGCCTTTTTTTGCTAATATTTTCATATTTAAAGTACTGTAGAGCCCGTATCGTCTTTGTAAATTATACCGTTTTTTGCAATCAATAAAATAAATTCAACAGAAACACTTGTTTTTATTTAAAGGTCAGTACTTATTTATCAAAAATCTTCGCAATTTTCTATCCAAATCCTGCAACCCCAACCAGCCAGTCCACCAGGTGGCGCTACGGGGTTTCCCAAAAATAACACCACAGAAGAAGAAGAACCGGAAGTCCAGTGACGACAGCAGTCATGGCGTCGACAGCAGCGACCCGAGCTGCCGCTGGAGTTTCTAAAGTTGTCAAACCCATTTTCAGCCGGGACCTGGACGAGGCGAAGCGGAGGGTCCGCGAGCTGTACCGGGCCTGGTACCGGGAGATCCCCAGCACCGGTATGTGTCTCTGTGTGGAGGGTAACATGATATAAACTAACAGAACCGGCGTCAAGGTCGTGTCTATGTGGAGCTTCAGCTGTACGTTAGCCGCTAGCAACACAATCATAACAATACACTTTGCTTCTTCTATATTTAATATAAACGTTGGTGGTGTCACTTAAGCTAATTTAATAATGAGTAGCCATGAAATGTAAGAGTCCATACCATGCAATATGTACTCCTTCCGATATTAATTCCACCATGGGCATAGGCTATACATGTTGGAAAGTACTACCCTGATATTGGTTTTTAATATACTACAGGGAATCCCTCCATGCTAAGGTCCTTACTTTAATGTACAGTATATGGCTTTTACTATAAATGACATGTTCATCTTACTTTGGATTGTATCTAAAAAATCCCATTAACGATGCTTTATTTAAAAGACATTGCAGTAGCACTGTTGCATTTCATTCTTAATATGAGCATAAATAACACCTACACATCTGATCTGTACAGAGGCACTCACCTTAGTATAAGAGTTGTAAAATATATCAAATGTATTCCTGGAACAGGTTGCTGTGGTGGGAAAGGGTGACTTGTAGTTTGTTTCTCTCTCTCTACAGTGGCTCAGTTTCAGCTGGACATCGACGTGCGTATGGGCAGAGGCAAATTGAGGGAGATGTTCGACAAAAACAAGCACGTCAACGACCCCCGAGTGATCGACATGTTGGTCATCAAGGTGAAGACAGCTCCTTAAATACCATACAATCATATTTTCTTTTAAAACGATACCTATTTAGTGCATTTAAGTACCACATTACATTCAATTAGACTCCAGACTAACCAAACTTTTTTTTGTCCCGAAAATGTACTTTGTAAATGTGATCCTAAATGTAATTATATCACAACATACAAGTATATTTATTGCTTTGGAAAATTCTCTTAAAAACACCTGAATCTATTACAGTTTTTCGGAAGCCTAAATTACAAGATACATTCAAAACACATCGTGATAATGTTGAAATGTACCTTTGCCCAATACTTAATTTTTTCTGCTAATGAACAGAGCTTGAACGCATCATTGTGTGTATCCTGCATTTACGCTAGCAACAGTACTCTGCTGCACACGGCTATCGTAAATAGCCTACATTTTACCGATTTAAACACAAATGTGTCATTCTATTAAATCTGCACACAGTTGATTAGCTGCACAACAAACATGCGCAGACAAATTGGTGTGAACAGGCCGTCGGTTAAACATAGCCTTGATGCAAAGAATATACTCTTCAGTTATGAATTATCAAGTTTTTCCAAGCTCTATTTCATCGGCTGACTAGTTCCTCATCTCAGTGTTGACGGATCATGAATAACCCTTTCCCATCACAACTGAACAAACAAACGTGTGTATGTTACTTCATCTCCAGGGGAAGATGGAGCTCCAGGAGACGATCCACGTCTGGAAGCAGAAGACCCACATCATGCGATTCTTCCAAGAGAGCGAAGAGCCTCGTCCCAAGGACTTCCTGTCCAAGTTCTACAGCGGACACGACCCATGATCCTCTGCTGACCTCTGACCCCGCTTTGCTTTGTCCTCTGTGACAGATATTCCCCTTTATTGTAAATACACACTTATAAACCCACACGCCTGTTGTGTCTTTTTATTCCGAAGTGTATCATAAAGGGACACGAAAAACTAAAAGTGTGTTGCTGTTTGCATCTCAAACGGAAACTATGAGTGTTTTGGGACTTATTTAGATTTCCATTAGGGTTATTCTTTGATTGGTGCTTCATTTAAAGGAGTGTTTATGAAAGCCTTGTTTAATCAACCCAGTCTCACAAAAAAACGTGTAATAGCTACGTTGGTCCACAGGGCAACATGTAGTATATTCACAAATAACCCTCTCGAGACGTGACATGGATACAATATTTAGTAAAAAAAAACACGGAGCTCAAATAATCTTCGTAATATCAATCAAACTATGGATCCTACACATCCACTGGACGTAGGTTCTAAGTACAATAAACACTTCTCGCTAGTAATGTAATCAAAAAGCATTTTAACGGCCAAACTATCAACAATTTAGGATTTTCCACTCAAAATAAATCGGGTGTCCGCCACGTTTTTTTTTCTCACTGGGAACGGTTGCGATCACGTGACATGGACGCTGGTCATTAGAAATGAATAGGAAAAAAATATTGTATCCATGTCACGTCTCGAGAGGGTTATTTGTGAATATAGCTACGTTTTGCCCTGTGGACCAACGTAGCTATTACACGTTTTTTTGTGAGACTGGGTTGCGTTTAATTTGTGATCAATCATCCATCCATCTTCTCCCGCTTATCCGTGGTCGGGTCGTGGAGGTAGCAGTTCCAGCAGAGAGCCCCAAACGTTCCTTTCCCTGGCCACATCAACCAGCTCTGACTGGGGGATTCCAAGGTGCTCCCAGGCCAGCCAAGAGATATAATCCCTCCACCTGGTCCTAGGTCTACCCCTCGGTCTCCTCCCAGCTGGCATCCTTACTAGGTGCCCGAACCACCTCAACTGGCTCCTTTCTACGCGAAGGGGGAGCGGTTCAACTCCGAGTCCCTCCCGGATGACTAAACTTCTCACCTTATCCCTAAGGGAGACGCCAGCCACCCTGCGGAGAAAACCCATCTCGGCCGCTTGTATCGTCTTTAATTTGTGATCAATCGCCACTAAATTGCAGTTAAATCCACTGAACATGTGCTGCTGTTTACATTCCTTATTCTCTTTAAGAAGACAGAGTAGTGAATGTTAATACAGTATGATACGCTCAGGGGTCAAAAACAAAAGCAGAAATTCAGCACAGATGGATGCAACTTTTAAATTGCAGTAGAAGGAAGTTCTGAATGGCAAGTTTCTGCTCATAGACCCGTCAGAGTGATAGAAGACAACATTACCTGAAGACAAATGAAAACGTTTCTCTAAACCTGGAAATCGTACTAATATGGCGTGGTAGGTAGGCACCGCAGTTTTACGAAGAAAAGTAATCTCTTAACCAAGAACTTGGGAATAGATAATCACAACAGCCCGATTCAAATACCACAACATTGAGACGGTGAAAGAAAGGACACACGATGCAGTCAGAACTGATTTTCATTCTTTCTCTTGCGATATGTGAAGTTGCAGATTACATTGAAATGCCATAACCTTTAGCAGCCACATATTCAGAGAAATAAAAACAAATGGTTGATTATATAACCATACAAAATCTCACAACAGAGCATCAAATGAAACAATACATATGTTAAAGCAATGCAATAAATACTGTACAGCATTCAATATTTACAGTCACCCTATAATGCTAACGTGATGAGCAGTCAGAAGAATATTAGTGGCTTTGATATGACACAAAGCATGACCAACTAAATGAGAAAAGGGCCTTGGATGAAGCATAGGAGAGCTGCAAACTGTAAACACATGGACATGTTCTTCCATCAGGATTATTGAGCTTCTACCGACTCACCATCAAAGCCAAACAATCGGAGAAACATTCAATGAAATATTAAGGACCTCCCTGAAACTTCAATAACTTAAATAAACATTTCATTGTACCAACATAATACAAACAATAGTACCAACACATTTTATACAGAAAGGAAATCTCAGGTACCGTAAAATAAATGTATACTTAGTGAACCAAACAGGATGTATGTACAGCTCCAGGTGGATCCTCAGTGTCTCTTTATTGCAGAACTCTCAACAAACGTTAGTCTCTTCCAGCCGTACGTGATTTCCTCAAGAGGCAGCACTTCATCACTAAACAAAGCAACACACACAAGACATTTATCATTGAGTGTAAGAGGTGCAGGGATGATGTATTTTTTTAAAGGTCCCCTATTATCCACAATCCACTTGTTCATGTCTCTTCTACATCAACATGTGTCCCCTCTTCTTCATGTCTCTTCTACATCAACATGTGTCCCCTCTTCTTCATGTCTCTTCTACATCAACATGTGTCCCCTCTTCTTCATGTCTCTTCTACATCAACATGTGTCCCCTCTTCTTCATGTCTCTTCTACATCAACATGTGTCCCCTCTTCTTCATGTCTCTTCTACATCAACATGTGTCCCCTCTTCTTCATGTCTCTTCTACATCAACATGTGTCCCCTCTTCTTCATGTCTCTTCTACATCAACATGTGTCCCCTACATCAACATGTGTCCCCTCTTCCTCATGTCTCTTCTACATCAACATGTGTCCCCTCTTCTTCATGTCTTTTCTACATCAACATGTGTCCCCTCTTCCTCATGTCTCTTCTCCATCAACATGTGTCCCCACTTCTTCATGTCTCTTCTACATCAACATGTGTCCCCACTTCTTCATGTCTCTTCTACATCAACATGTGTCCCCTCTTCTTCATGTCTCTTCTACATCAACATGTGTCCCCTCTTCCTCATGTCTCTTCTACATCAACATGTGTCCCCTCTTCTTCATGTCTCTTCTACATCAACATGTGTCCCCTCTTCTTCATGTCTCTTCTACATCAACATGTGTCCCCTACATCAACATGTGTCCCCTCTTCCTCATGTCTCTTCTCCATCAACATGTGTCCCCACTTCTTCATGTCTCTTCTACATCAACATGTGTCCCCTCTTCTTCATGTCTCTTCTACATCAACATGTGTCCCCTCTTCCTCATGTCTCTTCTACATCAACATGTGTCCCCTCTTCTTCATGTCTCTTCTA